TTCGTCGAATCGATCAATCAGAGTACCCATACGATAGTCCCATAACTGGATAACGCCACTGTGGAGACTGGCTAAGATCCACGGCCTCTTAGCGTGGAAACTCAGTCCCTTTACTCTATTACTCTTCGTCTCAAACTTTGTCAACATCTTCTCCCCCTTCTCGTTTTTCTTCTTCTTTCTCTTCGACCGCCAATTTTCCGCAAAACAAAACCAAATCCAACGTCTAAATGAAATAATCGTCGTAACCAAACAGGGAGAATGGGATTTGGGAACCGAGCAACAAGATAAGGAAGATCGAAGTTATGGGCATGAAACTAAGAAGAAATTACCTCAGATCTGATGCAGCATCTAAAATTACAAACGAAAACGGAAGCGTCTTTGTATTTTTCGCTTTATAGGGATAGAGAGGAGAGAGTTTTCGATTCTCCCTTTTAAGGATCTGAGTCTTTTTTATTCAAGTACCAGGATTTCGTTTGTGTTGTACAGTCTTCTTTTAAGTGCCTTCCTTCCCATTTTTTATTTTGCGACGACGTTTTGAGAACGCAAAAAATTCTACTCTTTAAATGGTTGCAGGCTGCTGCCGTAACAAAGCCACTTGCGGCTGCCACTGAAAGAAAATATTTTCATTCCACGACAATGTAAAAAGTAAAATGTTAATCACCGACCTTTTATTTTTACGTGGATATTTTAATAATTGTTACTATTTAAATAATTGATAGAACTTGTAATTAAAGTTTATAATTGAACCTCATATTAACTTTTTGTTGCACTAAGTATATCCCAACATATCCATTTTAATCCAAATATAACTCCACATATCTCTTAGGACTATTTGAATTGGAAAAAGAATCAACTTCCACTTCCCAAGAAGGGCCACAATTCAAAACTCCCGAGTACAAGTAACTGGAAAAGAGCAAGTTTCTGAAATCACATATGCATAAAATCGATATGCAAGTGCTACCTATGACATCATCTAATTAACAAGGCACCTATGAATATGCTTGTCTACAGACATCAACAGACAAGAAAAGCCTGATAACGAAAATTTCAAATTTATTATTACATTGAAAATCATTATGACCTATTAAGAGGAATTAAACAAAACACAAATAAAAGGAAATAACACAAAAAATTAATTTGGTTCGCAACTCCTCTTCAGTAATCTGACCTTTATGATCAACCCAGGCAAGTTTCTGCAGTTAAAAGAGGTCAGCAAGATAAAGTTGAAAAGTAGATCCAACTTCAGCAACTTGCTCATCGTATCTGTGAAGGAGAACAGAGCAACCCTGAAGCATCTGCCCCAACCACTGCAAGATCACAGATAGTACACAATTGCCCTTCCTGGCTAGGAACGAAGCGTGTAGTGCAATATGGGCAAGATACATCTTTCTGTCCTCTGTAAATTGGCACATGAGTTGCCCCACATACCACAAATGGGTTTCTGAAATCATAGTTCAGCTGAGAGGCATCTGTCATATTCCTCTCAGCAGCTTGAAGCACTTGCCTTGCTGTCTTTGCTTGATTCTCATTTGTGGGGTTTGTTTCCAGTAGACGTCTGGCAAAGTTAGCTGCTGTGGCCACATTCTTTGCCCTGACGCATACAGACATTGCATTTTGCAAAGCAAGCCTTAAGTGAGGTGTCCGAAGGTTGCAGTGGGTGAAGTAGGCAGCAAGCTCCTGCTGGCGTACTGGATTATCTTTCATTTCTTTCCTCCTAAGCTCCATCTGTAGACCAAGAACATACTCCTTAGCAATAATAATCAATTCCTTGACTTCGTCAACTTCCCTCCTTGACTCCACAACAATCAATGGAATTGTATGAAGAATGTTGAGGAAAAGCCGAAGAGCTTCAGTGAATTTCCCAGCTGTTGTGGCCTTGTAACCAGCATTCACCTTTTCATCCAATTGAGAGGAATTGAACACAAGTGCTGGTGGACGCCTCACATTAGGACTAGCAGATTCGTTCCATCCACGCTCAACTGCCAGTGACACCACTGGTGCAGATGCAAATGCACGGAGATAGCTATGGCTACCAGTATTAAGATCAAGAAACATCGATTTCAAAGGAGCAAAGTTTCTAATGCCAAGTTGCCTGTTAAGCAATCGCATTGCTGTATCAAAATTGCCAGCTGCTGCATGCTCAGCAGCAAGAGATGATCTCTGAATCCAAATCTGATTTACAGGCATACCCAGAGTAGGTGCCACAAAAACAGAAGACCGAGCATTCCCAGAAACCTTTGGGGTGTCTGCCTCGGGGGGAAGTTCCAAATCTTCAAGGTCCCATCCACCCTCTTCTTCATTTTCTTCAGCCACTTCTCCATCCTCCAACATTGCAGTGATGTCACCATTCTGTAAGCCATCAACATCAACCGCATCAAGATCTTCACCCCAATCACCTTCTACACCCTCCTCGTCATCCACAGCACCCCTGCCAATATCACTATCCAATCCACCTTCAAATATGCCTTTCATGACTCTCAGAAGGGGCCAATCACCACCACATAAAATGGGGGCTGAAGGCATCAAAAGGGAAGGTTCTTTCCCCTCTGGCAAAGGAGGAACATCATCTCCCAACTCAGCTGCTAACCTTTCAGCCACATCCTGTAGCCCATGGACCGCTGCTGTAATGTAAGCAAGAGGCAAGTGACCAGAATTCTCCAGGATTTTAACACGTTCCTGGATATCACCAAGATACAAAGCATTGTGAAACTGACCCATAACATCATTCTTAACTTCTGCAATTTTCAGCATCTTGGACAGCTTTTCCAGGTTACCGGTTATGAGATAAAGAAAAGACAACCTCTCAAAGTTTTTTGTCCTCTGATAAGCATATTCCACTATACCGGCATTGCCTTGGCGAAGAGCCTCCACACCCAATCTATACCAATGATCTTTGTCATCTATCTCCTTAGCTGATGCAACAGCAATTTGAATGTTCCCACTCTCTAGAGCCAAATTAAAGCGTGTTTTCTCGTCTTTGACAAAATGGAGAGCCACTTCAGGGAACCCCTTCTGTTGGAGATAAGCAATCATGGCCTCACCACAAAGCTTGGAGTTTCTTATCATGCCCATAACATGATCATATCTCTTCCGAAGCAGAGAGAGCTTGAAAATGTATTCTGTAGCATCAATGACTATAGTCCTATTCTTCCCATCACGATCCAGGCAAAATAAAGTATTTCCTGAAACCTTAGTTATGTATATTGGAACATCAAGTGTTCGAATTATTCCACTATCTCCATTGGGAAGACAGTATTTTATATGGTTTAGGGTGGTGTAAATAAAAACACCATTGTCATCCCAGCCTCCACTTTTTACACGTATTGTCTCATGAAGAGTGCACTGGTGCACGAGCTTCTTGTTAGTGATGATAATGGCATGCTTGCTAAGTAAAGCAACACTTTCCATATCATTAGACCAAACAATATACTTCACAAAGGGGGTTTGAAGATCACCAAGAACAATCCTCTGCTGGAGATCAAATATAACTACTCTATCCTCTGACCTACACAACAAGTTACCTGTTCCAGCATAAAATATCGCATCCGTAGGTACTGGGAGGCCACTCTTTTTAACTACTTCATTTTTTAAATTCTTGATTAAGACTTGGTTGTTGCCTTTGTCAAGCACAGCAAACCGATTTCGAGCAACAAATATAGCAGAACTCCCAAGACC